TCTGGAAACATTGTTCAGAGCAATTAGACAAAAGAGATGAGGAATAAGAATAAGAATAAGCAATATGGAATAAGTATAAGAAAGGAAGAAATGAAATTATCATTGTTCACAGATGGTATGATATCCTACATAGAAGACCCCAAAAACGCTACCAAAAGACTTCTTAGAATTCATAATCAAATTCAATAGCATAGCGAGATACAAAGTCAACACTCAAAAATCAATAGCAATCATATACACAAATAACAAACTCATTGAGAGAGAAATTGGGGAAACTACACTCTTCACAATAACATCCCAAAAATGAAATAGTTAGAAATCAATATATCAAAGAAAATAAAAGATATATACATTGAAAATTATAGCACTCTGAAAAAAGAGATTGAAGAGGATATCAGAAAATGGAAAGATACCTGTTGTTCATGGATAGGAAGAACCAACATTGTGAAAATGGCCATACTACAAAAATTGTTATATAGTTTAATGCAATCCTCATTAAAATACTATCAGCATACCTTACAGTTCTGGAGAAAACTTTCTAAAATTCATTTGGAAACCAAAGAGACGTAGAAAGCAAAGGCAATTCTGGGGAACAAAGGCAAGGCAGGAGGCATCTCAATTCCTGACTTGAAATTATACTACAAAGCTGCTATGATAAAATCAACATAGTACTGGAAAAACCAACCAATCAACCAACCAACCAACTAACCAACAAAAAGCAGACCGGAGGATCAATGGAACAGACCAGAAGATGCAGACAAATCTACAAACACATTCAGCCACCTTATCTCTTTGACAAAAGGGCCAAACATATTCATTGGAAGAAAGACAGCCTCTTTATTAAATGGTACTGGAAAAATTGGCTTGCTACATGTCAAAGACTAAAATGAGACTCATGTGTATCACCATACACTAAACTAAAATTGAAATGGATCGAAAGTCTAAATATTAAAACAAATACTAAATCTACTGGAAGACAAGATAGGTAAAAATCTTGAAGACAAAGTGGGTAGGTAGCTGGAGAGTTCATGAACAAAACCCAAACTGCATGGGAAGAACTTCAAAGAATGAACAACTGGAATCTCATCTTATTAAAAAGTTTTTGCACATCAAAAGAAATCACCAATAGAATGAAAAGTAAACCCACAGAGTGGGAAAAAATTGTAGCTAACTGTCCCTCAGACAGAGGACTTCTATCTAGAACATATAAAGAATTGAAAAAAAATCAGGCCTCTCACATACAAAGACCCAATCAAAAAATGGGCATCTGAGATGAACACATACTTCTCAGATCAAGAAATATAAAAAAAAAAATACCTGAAAAAAATGTTCAACATCATTGGTCATTTAGAAATGCAAACTGAAACAACACGGAGATTCCATGTCACCTCAGAAAGAATGGCTACTATCAAGAAATTAACCAGTTAATAAATGCTGGAGGAGTCATGGAAAAAAGGAACATTGTCCCACTACTGGTTGGATTGTAGACTCATACAACCATTGTGGAAATCAGTGTGGAGATTCTTCAGAAAAGTACGATTAGAGATCCCATTTGACCCAGCTATTCCCCTTTTGGATATTTTTCCAGAAGAATTAAAAACATCATGCTAGCGTAATTGATGTCCATCCATGTTTATAGCAGCACAAATTGTATTAGCTAGATCTTGGAAACAACCCAAATGCCCATCAATTGAGGAATGGATGAAAAAGATGTGATATTTTTATATGATGGAGTACTACTCTACTATAAAGAAGGATAAACTCGGGGATTTTATAGGTAAATGGATGCAACTAGAGTCCATACTCATAAATGAAATAAATCAAACTCACATGTAAATGTTGTATTGTCTCCCTAGTACAAGAAACTGAAGAGATAAGTGAGATCCAAAATGTACAATAGATATTGTGAAAGGAGAAAGAAACTGCTCGAAAAGAAAAAACAACTGGGATAGGGGCAACAAGAAAAGAAGGAAGGGTAAAGAAAAACTATATATACAAAAGATAGCTAATATAGTTATCCTATGATTTCTTTTAGTTCATTAAAAAACAGTTCATGCTTATATTGTTTAATCAATTATTCATGCTTATATTATAATCTGAATAACTACTTTGAAGATAGTAATACATAATATATTAACTGTTGTTAATCTCCTATTATCTTTTTTTGAAATTCTGTATCTTTGGTTTTTATTGTTTTTTTCTCTTTTTAAAAAAAAACTTTCTTGTACTTTTATGTGGTAAACAACTATAAAACCAAAATGAATTAAAGAGTGGCAAATATTTTAAATTAAAAATTGAATTTTCTTCGATTCCCAGTAACCACCTGCAAATTAAATTGTTAATGTAATGCAATGCAACTTAATGTAAATGAAATAAAGTCATCAAAGATTGTTTGATAATAGGAAGATATTTTATTTATATTCTTTGTTTATTCATACTTTATTTTATTTTATTTTTTTGGTACCGGGGATCGAATTTATGACTATGCGCTTGCAAGGCATGCACTTATGCTGCTGAGCTAAATTCCCAGCCCCATACTTTATTTTTTGACCTTTTGATTTTGAATATGAAAGACTACTTTTAAGTCATTATTGGTATTATTTTGTGTTAAAATAATTAAAAATTGCCTCCCTCCTCTCCCCCCTTACTTCTTACTTCCCTCCTCTATTGCTGGGATACCCAGGGCCTCACACATGCTAGGCAAGTGCCTTACCATTGAACTACATCTCTAGCCCCAAATATACTCTGAGTTTACAAGCAATCAAGTGCATGCCCAAACAATACTGAGATATTTAAAAACTATTTAACAGAAATATTTTCCATGGGTCTCTACAATCATGTATTCTGGTAGTGAACCTACAAGTTGGTTAGTACAAAGGTGGAGACACACAAAGAACCCATACACAGTACTCTTTAAATGGTACTAACAACCATACCACTGTGCCTGAATTATTGGATATAGCATGACTCAGCTCATTCATGCATTTTCCCTTCCTCAAACAATCATTAAACTTTCACTTGTGCAGTGCAAGATGAATGAATTTGGCCTCCATGTGACCTTGGTTCCTCATTCCCATACTAGGTTTGCCTCAAATCTTTCCTCATTAGCCTTCTTCAGTTATATTAGAGCACACTGTGATTTTCATGATGCTGTATATAAGCCTATTAATGTATTCAGTGACTTCAGAAAACATAATTTTAGCACATGACAATGTCTTTAAGCTGACCATTGTAAATCTCAGTATTTGTCAGAACTGATTAAAATAAATAAATTAATTAACTAATATAAAATTGCATCTAGAATGTTGTCATTTGAATATTAGGATGTGTCATCTCAAGTACCTTTAGTTATGCCTATGAATACAAAGACATTAAATGATGTCAATGATCAAGTGATCAATTGATTATAAATTGATTACCAGCAGCAGTGCAAAAATACAGGCACTGGATAGAGTGGCTATTTGTTGGTATTAAGTGGTCACCAAGGTTGATCAAAAACCTGTTATTTCTTTTTTTTTTTTTTAAAGCATTTTTTTTTGGTCTTTTTCGTTTTTATCGGTATAAGGGATCAAACTCACGACCGCACACTTGTAAGGAAGGCGCTTATGCCACTGAGCTAAATCCCCAGCCCCTAAAACCTGTTATTTCTTTAAAAGAGTATCAGTCACATGAAAATACAGAATTAGAATAATCTCTCAAGGTTCTCAAGGCTCAGTGATGGCACCTTGCCCACCTGCCAGATCTGGAGCAGTGAATGTTTTCAGTGTGAAGACCACTAAGCACTAGGTTTTACTTTCCTTCGTGGGGCATAAAGACAATCACGCCTGGGGCAGGCAGAAAGGAACCACTGGAATGGAGAGCAAACTGCCTCCTCATCAGCTTTTTGACAGGCATTCTGTTTGTTGCTAGCAAGGAAGTTGGTGTTGAGCAGCGGGTGTTGTATTCTGCACAAGTTTAGACCTTCCCCATCCCAAGGCAGGGAGACATTCCCTTTGTCTGCAGACAGCTTTAAATTAATTATTTTTCTAATTAACTAATTATTAGATATCAAGTCCCTGCTAGATTGCTGTCAGCTTTCCAAATTATCCTTTTGCCGAGTGTGTACTGTAACTTGAGGTTTTTTTCCCCCTGTTGCTATAAAAGATAGCTGAGAGCCATAATGGAGATTGTATGGCATGTAATAACATCATAAATGCATGCGTTATCCTGCTGTTTAACTCACCAAGGTGGCATAAGGCCCAGAATTGTGTTTGTTTCTATATCTTCCTTTGGGCTCAATATTGATAAATCTTTTTGATAGCATAATATTCTCTTAAATACTATTTGTTTTCAAATAAATGCATAGTTAGGAAAATACAAAAAAGGTTAACTTTTCTTTCTTTTTTCTATCCTTCTTTTCACTCCTCTTCTTCCTTTTGGTCACGTGTCCTATTTGACAGATATATTTGGGAGTTGATGAAGACTCCTTAGGGGAGAGCTACAACTAGGCAGGGATCCCTAAGGCCTTCAGAACTATGTCCCCTATACTAGACACCTGCTGAGGGAAAAAATCACTAATTCAGTAGGAAACAATAGTCTCCCAGAAGGAGTCCAATTAGTAAATATAGAAAAAATAGGGGCAAGATAAAATCATCATTGGGCAAATTCTACAGTAATAATTCTTGCAGAGAAAGTCTCCTGATGGATAAAATTAGTAGGTAAAAGTTTGTGGAGAAATAGGATTTTCATACGGTCTCAAAGTATTTCCTCTGGGGGTATTTATCAATTAAAAAGGGATAAAAAGTGAATTTGAAGGAAGAAAATCAATTGATTCTACTGTGCCCAAGGGGTCAAAGTTAATGTCATTGGTATTGAGACATCAACAGGAGGACGTGATGCACTGAGCAGGATATAATGTCATTGTGTAATAGTTTTGTCAGAAAGGCGCACAGCCTCTAATCGTGCCAAGGCATTGGATAAACTCAAATCCATAGCCATTCTACAAAACAGCTAATACTTACTAAATGTAAAGATCATTGTCAAGATCATGCTGAAGCTCCTGAAGACAAGAAAAGACTGAAAACTGTCACAGGTTGGAGAAAACTGAGGAGACAGTCCATTGCAGTGTCGGGTCCTAAATTTCTCCTGGAACAGACATGAGACATGAAGGGGAAAACTGGAGAAATACAAATAAGATTTATAGTTCATCAAGTAGTGTAACAATGTCAGTTTTTTGGTTGTGGTAATTGTGCTGTGACTATGTAATGACATTAGAATATAGATGAGGGGCAGATGAAAACTCCCTGTGCTGTTTTTGCAACTCTTTGGCAAGCCTAAAATTATTTAAAATTAAAATATTATAAACCACTAAAAGACATACTTAGGACAGACTTTCTCTTTAGAAGGGTGGAAATACTGCAAAGTGTTTAGGACCATCTTTAAAGAATGAGTGAGACTGATAGGTTAAAAATCTTTGTGAGCATGTGTATATATGTCATATTTTGCATGAGGAATTATTTCCATTCTCCTTTAAAATATTTTCTTTTCTTTGACAAATAAAATTTCAAATTGCATTTTAAGTGACATTGTTAGAAAACTCTGGGCAATTTTTCCTTTTGGAAATTCATTTCTAACACTACAAGGAGATAAAATTAGTCTTAATTCTCTCCAGTTTTCTGTATATTCTGCTTCTGGGGAATGCATTTCCTTTTTCAAATGAGTGATTGTTATATTAAAATTGATAAAAATAACCCATCACTGACTACTGAACTACTGGCTGAGGGTTCAGGTCATCATCTTGTCCTCCCTAAAACTAAAATCTCTCAGTAGAAACAAATAAACATAGAAAAATAATGACAAAATTCTAAATCAAACCCTCAGTGAGGTTATGGTGCAGAATTTAAGTATCACGGAGGAAAATGAGACAGAAACAGTTCTGAACACAATAAATTTGAGAAATTACTTGATCTCAGTCTTGAATTACAGCAGAATTTCATAGATGGTGAGGAAGGAAACATTCCATTCAGGGAATAAACAAACCAGCACTTGACTGGTCTGAGAAAGGAACTGCCTGTGTAGAGTGGTAATGGGTGTGGACCTGAGGTTGAATCCATAGTTAGCGAGGGAAGGAGACGCGGTTATGGAGATTTCTAAAAAACAGTTTGATGATATTAAACTAGAAGCCTGCAGCTAGTAAGAGCAAGTCTTTGCATTCTTGAGGAAGGGAAATCTTGTAAAAATCCTGATGTAACCTGAGGCCTTGCTGCATTTGTGTGTTGACAGTGAGGAAATGTGACATGAAATGTGATAAGAAATGTTCAGTATTTGTTAAATATGAGGGAAATGGATAGAAGTCAAAGAAAACTTGAAGATTTTAGGCTCAAGTGGGTAATGCTAATATTAACAGCAGGAAATTCAGGACCCAGAAGATTTTGGAAAAAAAATGACATCATTTTGATGTAATGATTAAAATGAAAATATTTGGCAAAAGGTTCACAAACTCATTTGTTCATTCAGGAGACATTTAATTGCCTACTTTGTGTTAGGCTTGTGCTAGGTGGATCCTACCCTAAGGGTGTCAGTAGCAGGCAAAGCACATCTGGAGGACTGTGTGCAGACTGTGGTGGAGGGAAGAAGTAATGCTTTGTGAAAATAAAGGAGGAAAAATATTTCCAGGGTGTTAGGAACAGGAGATTACAGAACAGATAAATACAGAAGAGCTGAAAATTTAGGACTTATTAGCAAGAAGTAGGAATAGAAGCCTAGTTCAGTCCCTTTTTGATTTTGTTTCTTTGCAACAGGGTCTTACTTTGTAGCCAGGCTGGCCTTGAATTCTTCCTATAGCCCAGGCTGGCCTTGACAAATCCAACCTTTATGAAAGCAAAGAGGCAGAAGGTCAAAGTGAGTCTCCTGCTGAGAAAATTAAGAGTCAGTGATGAAAAGAAGAAAGTGCAGGAAAATTGCAGGAGGATCTGTAGTCATGAAGTCAGAGGTGCTGAGGAGTACATCTAGCAGTTCATCCTGAGAGTCTCTAAGGGAATGGTGCAGTAGAGAGGAAAGGGAAGGAGTTGGAAAATAATTATAATTCAATAACTAAACACTGAGACAGTTTGCAAAGTATGGAAATGCAAGAAAGCCAAAAAGTAGTTGAAAGGCACCTGAAGAGTGAATGAAATTTCTACTTCCTCACTTGCCTACTCAATATGTTATGATTTATGTCTAGATGTCCCCCAAAAGACTCAAGTATATTTAGATGGGGTATTTTTGGGAGGCAACCGAATTTAGAGTTTATGACTGATTCATTGTACAATGCTGGAATTAAGAGTGCTGGCATTAAGGATGAGTGATTGTTGGATCAGTTCATTGGTTGGATTAGCACTTCCTTCATCTAAGTTGACTGAATAAAATAAAAAGCACGAAAGAAGTTTGTTTTTCTTTCTTGCTCCTCCTGCACTGGCTATCTTTTCCTACCACCATGAAATGTTGCCCCCTGCCAGGTGCCACCCTGCTTGAGTCAGGCAATTATGAACTAAAAATCTTCATAAACTATGACCTAAATAAACCTTTCCCCTTTTATCTTTAGGTACTGGATATTTTGTTTTAGTAACTAAGGCAGAATTTGGTACCAGAAAGGTGAGGTCATTGCTGTAACTACACCTGACCATATGGTTCTGGAGTCTTTGATAATGGCTTATGGGAAGAGATTGGAAAGGCTTGGAGAGATAGGCTGAAAAAGTAGTGATGGCTGCAGTTTAGGCTGTTCTGTGTAGGAGAGATTCTGGTCTGAGCTCACAAGACCAGAAGGTTTATAGAAATCCTACAGGTAAAGACCAGCCTTGGGAGTTTTCTGCTGAGAACAAGGACAGCATTGGCTGTTGAACTCCAGATGATGTGTAATAAGACTTGATGGAAAGTTCAGAATGTGGATCATCTGGAAACAACTGCAAGGAGAGAGCAGAGCAGGCCTAAGATAGAAGCCATGAGAGTTACAACCACCAGAAGTACCCTAGGCGTAGAGCCTCCCAAGCCCTTTCACATCTTGCCACACATTGCCTTAGATGCTGCATATGGAATTATAGGACTTAATGTCTGCCCTGCTGGATTCTGGACTTGCTCTGGACCCATTCCTTTGTATCCTCATGTGTAATGTCTATCTTGTGCCACTGAATGTTGGAAGTGTTTAACTTTCTTTTCATTTGTATAGGAGTTCATGGCTAAGAATGACTTAAATCTCAAAGGAGACTTGAGACTTGGATTTTTTAGCAATGCTGAAACCGTTAGGACTTTGGCAACTCTTAGAGATGGACTCAATACGTTTTGCATAAAGAAATGTATGTGAGTCCTTGGGAGTCCAGGGGTGAAATATTATGGCTTGTGTCTAGATGTCCCCCAAAGCCTCATGCACTTTTAGATGGGGTTCTTTTGGTGGTAACTGAATCTAGAGTTTGTGATTGATTCACGGTGCAATGCTGAAACTAACAGAAACGGGGTTAAGGATGAGCGATTATTGGATCAGTCCACCAAGTGGGTTGGCACTGCCCGAATCCGAACAGACTGGATAAAATAAAAGGAGTAGAGAGTGATGTGTTTTCCCCTTTTTGCTGTCACTTTTTTGCTGTCTTATGCCACCATGTTGTCTCTCTGCCATGTGCCACCCTGCCTTGGAGCCAGCCAATTATGAACTGAAGCCTCTGCAAATTGTGACCTAAATAAACATTTCCCCTTCTCTGGATGTTGTGTAGTTTGTCTCAACAACAAGAGAAATTAACAAAGACATAGCTCAACAAATACTGAATTTCTGGCACTATTGTAGTACTTGCCATGTGTTTTCTCACTGCTCACAACTTTCTAAGTGGATATGATTTCTTCAGTAAAGATTTCTTGAGGATTTGCTGGGTCCCAGGTAGAGTTTCAGGTGATGAAGATATAGCAGTGCACACCAGTCCCTGTCTTCTTGATCTTATTGTCTAAAAGAAGAATTGACAGTGAAAAAAGCATGTCATAAATCATAAAAATTTCAAGAGCAAGAAAGTGTTCTATTACTGGACTTGTGGCCATTCAAATAGGCTGGTTCCCAAGTCACCTTTGTCCTGAGTAAAGAGGGTTTGCTTAAAAAGTTAATAGAGAAAATGTCATGACATTGTTATATAAGATACTCCCATTTGTCAAGAAGTGCACAAACGGGCATGTGCAGAGGATTTGCTATAACTTGTAGAGCCTCTTTCATGTGGGCACTGACTGTAGATGATGTCAGGTAGAAACTTGTTCTGCTCCTCCCTGAAGTCTCTGACTCTCACAGGTAACTCTTTCAAAGTCCAGAATGGGTGTGCTTTGAAGGTGGGAAAGCTTGTGTTTAGCAATGAACCTGGGAAATTGAGTTAGATTGTTCAAAAGCCTCTTTAACCTTCTAAAGGTAGCAGAGAATTTGGTGTCTGCAGACATTTGTTATTAGTAGTAGAAAGCAAGGAATTTCCAGACATCCCATTCCAGCTTCTGCATTTTCTCACTTGATCTTGATACTCTATCTCTGTTTTCTGAAGCTCCTGATTATCTTCCTCTTAGCCTAGTTTCTGATCTCTGTTTTTAGCTCAGCTGGATAAATTGAAGTCTACTGGTTTCTTGTCTTTAAATTGGTTTCTCAGATTGATAAGACTCTTATCATCCTGCTAAGTTTCACTTTTTCTCTGCCCCTCATTGAGGAGGCAGGTAACTTCCATTTACAATTTCCAGCATATATGGATTGTCCTTAAAGCATATTGACTAAGCTTGGGTTTAGTGTCCTATCTTGGCAATGAACTCAGACTCACTTGGAGCAGCCTTGAGGAAATAAGAAGCATCATATCTTCCCTGTTTCTTCTTTAGGTTCTCAGTGTTATCAGGCCTTAGATAATTTTGTTTCACAAGACTTATGTTCTCACAACTCTTTGAAACAAGATCACCTTCATGATACAGCTAAAAAAAATTATCCATTATAAGTTTGAACAATGTAGTCACATTAACTAAAAAGTGAGATCACCAAAACAAAAATAAAGTAGCATTCCAATAGAGTCCTTTTTAATTCTCTCTCATTACTTTCCTGGTAGCTGAACCATCCCAGAACTAGCTCTCAGAGTATATAAGTGGAATGAGGTTTTAATAGTCTGAACT